ACTACAACGAAATCTGATTGCGGCATTTTTACTCCCAGCGGCGTTGGAGAGTGTTCGTGAGGGTATAAAGAGAGGGAGTCGCAGTCGAAGCATTGGAAGCGGTGGAAGCGACGGAAGCGAAGCGACGAGAAAAGAAGAAGAAGAAGAAGAAGAAGAAGAAGAAGATAAAGGTTGGAATTTATGAGAAATTTTGACTTTTCAATTCTCATCTGACATAAATGTGGAATGAGACTCAAAGAAAATTATTCCGTACAAAATTTCGTCTATATTTAACAAAATTTTGTCCAATTTTGTCTTTGTTGTATCTCTAATTTTGTACATTTTGGAGAAATACGGAACCGTACTACATTCCCAATGTTGACTGTAATTTGGACAAGTAGGACCATTACTGTGCGCTGATCAATATTGTAGTGGAAAAGTAGTCTTGGTGGGGGGACCTTGTTTCTAGATTTTTTATATATTTTTATTTTTAGATTTTATTTCAATATTTCTAGATATTATTATTTTTTCTATTTTTTTATAATACTCTTCATTAACACAGTCTGAAGTACGACCTTGCTACAGTTATCCTCTTAACTGGACTGCTACATGTACTATAATGTTGACTGTAATTTGGACAAGTAGGACCATTACTCTTGCGCTAATCAATATTGTAGTGGAAAAGTACTCTTGTGGGGGGACTTTGTTTCTAGATTTTTTATATATTTTTATTTTTAGATTTTATTTCTAGATTTTATATCAATATTTCGAGATATTATTATTTTTTGAATTTTTTTTATAATACCTTTATAATTGTTACAACTACCTCTATAATCCACTACAGTCCGAACTTAGTTGTTAACACAAACAGGTAAAGACTACCGCTAAAGTTGTCCTCTTAACTGGACTCCTACATCTACTACGGTCCGAGCTTTGTTGTTAACACAAACAAGTAAAGACTACCGCTACCGTTATCCTCTTAACTGGACTGCTACATCCACTACGGTCCGAACTTAGTTGTTAACACAAACAGGTAAAGACTACCGCTACCGTTATCCTCTTAACTGGACTACTACATCCACTACGGTCCGATCTTAGTTGTTAACACAAACAGGTAAAGACTACCGCTAAAGTTGTCCTCTTAACTGGACTGCTACATCCACCGCCAACAGGTAAAGACTACCCCTACAGTTATTCTCTTAACTGGACTCCTACAGTTAACTGGACTGCTACATCCACTATGGTCCGAACCTAGTTGTTAACACCAACAGGTACGACTTTGCTACAGTTATCCTCCTAACTGGACTGCTACATCCACTACGGTCCGAAATTAGTTGTTAATACAAACAGGTAAAGACTACCGCTGCAGTTATTCTCTTAACTGGATTGCTATATCCACTACGGTCCGAAGTTAATTCTTAACACCAACAGGTACGACCGTACGACCTTGCTACAGTTAAACTCTTAACTAGACTGCTACATCCACTACGGTCTGAAATTAATTCTTAATACCAACAGGTAAAGATTACCCCTAGAATGAAAGTCTTAATTGGATTGCTACATGGTCCCGTCCCGCCTTTTCATGAAATGGCGGACTGAAATGTCGGACTAAATTTTCCCGTCCCGCCTATTCATGAAATGGCGGGACTCTTCTAAAAATTCCCGTCTATTACCATTTTCGTCCCTTTCCGCCTTGCTCGGCCTATATAAATACGCAACTATGTTTAGGGTTTTCCCAATCTTCTTTTCCTTATTGCCTGCGAAAATAAAAAAGATCATTATGTTCGATTTTACAGTAATCCTCGAGCATGATCCCAAGTTCAAAGAGCGATTGGTTTGTTCATTATATTTTCTTAATTTTTTTAAAGTTATATTTTATAACTCACAAATTCATTGGATCTGTTGTAGGCGCTACCCCGACATGTTCAATTTTGTTTCCCGGATAACACAGTTGTGACTCTCCATTCCAAACTAGCGCCACACACTTTTGAAGTAAAGGTTCAAGCATGCAGCCATGGCAATTTGTTCTTCA